GTTGTGTCTCCCTGTTAGACGAGTGAAGGGGACGATACCCCTTTAAGTACTGTGTGTACCCGTTACTGTGCACAAGTTGGTGTTAATAAATAAGTGTGCCTCCGACCCCGTCGTCAAAGCCTCCTAAATACTTACTACATCTGGATACCGTTGCCTGGCGCAGTCCGCGTGTGTGCGAGTTCTACAAATGTATGTTTTAATACACCAAACGCCCAATACAAGTGCTGGGAGTATCTATATAACCTCTTAGCACGGCATCTCTCTCCCACTTCAGCAAAAAAACATTGCTGTGGTTTTTGCACCTGATGATGATTGCTTGTGTTGCAATTGAAACGTCGTGATTTTATTTTATTTTATACCTACGTGACTTTACCGAAAGAACCAGAGAGTAAGTGCTGGGAGGAGATTATTTCCCTGCAATTTTGTAGGTGTAGAGAACAAAAAGAAAACTGCTATCAATTGAGATGAAACGGTGCTAATTTGGGTTTTGCTTTCTAACGTTTACTCCGTGGGAGGCATAAATATCAACAAAATATGCCCCTGCCGCCCAACGAGTCGTCAATTCAGCCCTTGCCAAGAGCAGCTGACGGAATCACGCTTTAAAAAGAGGACACGGCCTGCCTGACAGGAGGCTGAAATCCATTTGGGCTTAGTGCCATTGGAAAGCAATGAGCCGTCCACACCTTCCAAATTGTTCCACTGGGCGTGCGCAATATGCAACCAGCCCCCCCGCCCCCACCCCGTGTATTCCTGGCTGCCCCCACAGGTTCATGGCTCTCGAATGCAAAACGTAGGGAGGGGGACTGCATTAGTTCAGGACAATGAGATTCCTCTCAAAGAGGGATTGCGTGCTCCCTCCCTCCATCCCTTTGGACGGCAGCTGTCAAGCCCACCGATGATTTGAAACTTCCCCCACCCACCCCCCCCCCAAAAAAAAAAACCGCCGAGGACAAATCCAATGTCAGATATTCCTAACACGTTTTTTAATATATATAAACGAAGGCCACGAACGACCCGCACCCAAAAATTGAACGTCACCTTCCTTCTTGTGCCTTCGCGAACCCCAATTGGAAACTACGCGAGACTCGAAGTCGCAGCAGGAAGTAGTGGGTGGAGTGGGAAGGGGGGGGGACAAATAACCCACAGAGCCCCATCCCCCCACTCCTGACCGCCAAAAGCGTCAAAGGCTTCACTTTAAAGAGCCCGCGGCCGGCCCAACAATCCCACTTGTTTGTATCCTAGATTTGAAGCTTTCGTGACTGCAAGGATTCATATTCTTAGGTTTTTTTCGGTAAAGTCACGTAGGTAAAACATTAAATAATAAAAGTCAAATAAAAATAAAAGAAAAAATCACGTGCTGTGACGGTTCCACCTGAAGACGGAGGCCTGTGTTGCCTCCGAAACGTCGTGAATTTTTATTTTATTTTACTTTTATTAATTGAAATTTTTTACCTACGTGACTTTACCGAAAAAAACCTAAGAAGAATGTTTGTATCCATCGCTGCGAGCGAGTGGCACCCATCGTAGCGCTGCTCAGGTGCCGGCGGTGAACTATTTATCGACCTGGCAACGTTTCGAATTTGGGCGCCCACGCTCAAGTCAGGGGGCCTCTTGCACGTGACGGAAGTGACCCACGCGTTCGTTCACGTGCGGAACCGGCACATTTTTTAAAATCCTTTATATTAAGTTCGCTTGCTTGCTTACGACCGTGCAAATCTTTCGGTCGTTTTTTAACCCACTTCCCGTGATCCAATCGAGCTGACATTTTCCACACAGACTCGTTGTGCGTGACAATTAATGTTCGTGAAAATTTTTTTCCAAAATTTTACACTTTTTAGGACAAAAATATTATATTTAATTACCAATTGCTTAATGGTGCAATGCAATCATCTGACCCATAGGTGGCAGCCATCTCAAGCCAGAGGACGAGAGGACTCTAGCCGCCACGCATATAAAGGATTTATAGTGAAAAACTTTGTTTTTACGGGTTATACTTTTTTTTCTTTTGAAAGTCCTCTTTAACCCTCGTTTACAGTTGTAGCGAGCAGTGTGATGTAGCCATATCGACCACAGTAGAATCCCTCCTGTTCACGACGGTCATTGGTTCCACGAAACCGGCCGTCGAGCGATTCGGTCGTTAAGCGAGTGAAGGGAATACACGTGAAACGCTTCGGTCGTTCCGATGGCATCGAAAGTTACTTTCCACCCAAAAAACGTACTTTATAATATGTATACATTGGAGATTAATACGTAAAGATACTAATATTATAAACACATACTATTAAAAGGAACACGGTTAATCAATGCATTCATATTTACTGTACCAACAACAGCCCGTCGTTAACAGGTGAATGGTCGGTAAGCGAACACATTGGGCTCTATGGAGGCACTACACTATACTCTACACTACTATACACTACACTATACACTACTATACACTACACTATAACACTATACACTAATATACACTACACATTGGGCTCTATGGAGGCACTACACTACACTATACACTACACATTGGGCTCGATGGAGGCCCGTCGTTAAGTGATTCGTCGTTAACAGGGGTGCTTGTTGAGAGGGGTTCTACTCTACACTCATTCAGCGTTGTCTACAGGAAGGTCCGTACCTTTCCCCTCACAATCCTGTCTTCCACTGCGCTCATGTCTCCTCCGCAAGCCCTTCCTTGTTGAACATCGTCTAGCCTCGCCTTCGTTTTTCCTTCCTCTGGGTCTTTTCCCTAATAAGCTTCCCTCGATCATATTCTTAGGTTTTTTCGGTAAAGTCACGTAGGTAAAAAATTAAAATTAATAAAAGTAAAATAAAAATAAAATCACGACGTTTCGGAGGCAACACAAGCTTCCGTCTTCAGGTGGAATTCCCTCGATCACATCCTTCAGCAAGCCAGTCCCGTCTCACGAAAGCCTGCCCAGCCATATCTACAGATGCTATGCAAGAACACCTACCCCAAGCCAAAGTGTGCGAGTGTGATCTGGGAATGGAACCTTCAACGCCGCTGTGGACTCTGCTGTTGTAACGTTCTGACTCGGCCCTACTGGCCATCTGTGAAAAAAAAGCTTTATAGCCCATCGGATTCCTTCAGTATAAATATTCCGACTCTGATCAATATTCTGCTTCGCCTTATTCAGAAAGCCACGATTGAACCCCCAGGTGAGAAGCCCTGCAACATGGCAATGCGCGAGTGATAAAAAAAAGAAACCGCGAGAATTATATTTCAATAATCGTTTGCATGATGAATAACTGTATAGGCACTCCTCTCTTGGAAAGATATCAGAATCAGAATCTTTTTATTTTATACTGGAGGAATCCGATGAGCTATAAAGCTCTTTTACACGAGATGTTCAGTAGCGGCGTGTCAGAACGTGACAACAAAAACACGATAGGAGTACAAAGAACAAGAAAAGTAAGCAAATCATAAACAAATATTTTAGTGTAGTGTATAGTAGTATACACTATATAGTATAGAAGTATACACTATATATTACCTATACGAAAATAAAATAGATGGACTGAGACAGAAACACAAGAACCAGCACTTGAAACATCCGAGTTTTTTTTTACTATTGTATATATTGTTTTGCTGTAAACGCAAATTTTCCCGTTTGTAAATAATTTACTGGTTGATGTAGAATCTGTCATCGTGACGTCTTCAATGGCAAAAGATAATTTACAACAACCTGAAGGCCTACCTACGTTTTTGTAAACTCAAGGTTGATTTTCCCCAATCGAACAAAAAAAAACACCTTTAAAGGTTACAAATTGAATCGTGGAACATTCACAAAGAAAACGGGACACCGAAAAAGCGTGCAAATAGGCGAGGACGCCGCACACAATTGGAAGCACAGCCATCAAGAGGAGTGACATTGGATCGAGTAACAATTTAGAGACGTCATATTGACTTGAGAAAAAAAAAAAGTTAATGGGGGGCTTGGGCACGACAGACAGCCGGAAGGGATGATGACCGATGGTACACACCCGATGACAGAGTGGCAGCCAAAGACGTAAAACCTGCCCGAGAGATGACCCCCGTGGAGATGGAGCGATGATGAGGTTGGTTCACGCACAAGAAGATGAATTGGCGCGTCGCAACACCACGGCGAAGTCTTGGGGACGCTATCATCCAGCAGTGCACAAATTACGGCCGTTGATTTTATTGACGTCATCCATAGCACTGCTATATTGTTATACTTCCTAAGTGTTTAAGTGCTTAATTTTACGACGAGATTAAAGTAACATCGGGAATATCAGAAATTACCAACTATTCACTCACGTTCGTTTTAATTGATTACCTTTTAACCCGGCAGACCATTAGGAACAATATCGTATCAATTAAGAGGCAACTCAAAATCATATTAATCTTCTTTTGTAGATACAATCCGAAGCTGCGTATCTCTGGCTATTCAACAATATGCGTTTAACACCATTGGAACCTCCTTTGCCAGTAGCAAAATATGATAATAGTTTGTTTATCCTTTTATCTGGCAACAAAACTGACACCTTTTTTACAAGGCGTCATGTTTGCAATGACCACAATACCTGCGTTCGGAATGCAAACAAAAACACAACTCTGATAATGTATGCACTGTCCTTGAAATTGATTGGTCCACACCCGAGGCAACTTTAATTCTTAGAGCCTAGTCTCACATGGTGTTGGACCAGATGACGCCAAAACACCATGTGAGACTAGGCTCTATGAAAAGCTGTCTCGGGTGTGGACCAATCAATTTCAAGGACAGTGCATACATTATCAGTTGTTTTTTTTGCATTCCGACCACAGGTATTGTGGTCAATGCAAACATGATTCCTTGTAAAAAAAAGGTGTCAGTTTTGTTGCCAGATAAAAGGGTAAAAAAACAATTATAATGAGTTTAAAGTTTTTATAATTAAAATCTTCCGAGTCTCAGTCAAGGGCTCCATCAAAAGCGCTGCAGTAACGTCACCGCATTGACCTTGTTAATAAACCACATGGGGGTGACGACTCAGTGACACCATGACACTTGACTTTACTTAATTTTTTCTCTCCAAACATACAGAAGGAACATAAAACTTCATGATCTTGCATTGGTGGCAACGGCTGTCGGACTCACCGTACTTGGAACTGTCGCTGGGAGAGTCGTCAGGGGATATCGCGACGAAATATTGTCGCGACAAACCAAACTTGTGTTCCGATATCCCCTGGAACGGGTCGCGAGCCCGATTCACTTGGCCGCAGCCAATCCGCTTCACGTTAAGAGCGTCACGTGGTCAGGAAATGTGTCGTCATAGTGCCACGAGGAGGCCAATAGGTTCCAGTGGACAGCAAGTCCTCGGAATACCCCATTATGAATGTTGAACTTCTTTCGCACCGTATGTAGCCAGCGGTGCAAATCAGCCAACCGTGCTTATTATTTCCATGACGCCAAGTGTAGTCCGTTTGCAGCTTGCAATGTTATTTGTATTTTTTACATTATAAAATATTGAAAGCAACACAAAAGGCAGAACAAAAAAACCCACTCAAAACATTAACCAAGGTTCGATTCCTGACCACAGCTAATATCAGCAGCGATATCCTAGTTGAACGGTGGGTCCTCTCCACATCAACCTACACTTATCAGTGTGCTAGTGAACAATTCAACAACCCCCACGACTGCACAGCATGGGGAGGCCTTCATCCAGCAGTGCACAAACACAGGCCTGCAATTTATTACTTTTCAATACACCGCCGCACAGAGCATATACGGGCATGTGCGCGTACTGCACTCGCATACACGCCTATTAATCAGAGTCAATTATTCGGTTACAATAATTTCTACTGTGGATGCACACTTCTTTACAAATGTAGACATTAATAGGCCGTACAAAATCACATTATAGTACCGTATTCACAATACAGTGCAGTACACACACAGCTAACATCCCCTGTATAGCCTTTAACGGAACCTTTGGGGCAAGGGCTGTTCACAAGCACCTACGAAGGCAGGCATGGTACACAAGCGGGTGGTGTGGCCAGCACCATGCCCCACTGCCTTTGCATAAAGGAACTTCTTTCGCATCGTACGTAGCCAACCGTGCTAATCGGAGGTGCGGGGGAAGCCCAATGCTTATGCTTACAAACCATACCAGGTACTCATTTAAGGCCGAGTCGACCTAGGGGAAGCCCAGGAACGGTTCAGATATACGCCAATGATGTTCGCCACGAAGCAGGAATCGAACTCTGGTCAACTGGCCCCGCAGCGCGCCAACGACTACGCTATCACTCATCGGCACACGCGCAGCACACAAAAGCCAACGCCGCTGTCAACGCAACAAATGCCTTTCAAGTTGCGTTTTCCACAAGGTCCAACTAGTTCCTAGAGCGTCTCATTGTAAGCGACCTTGACCGGTTATTTATTGCAATCAACAAGAATCGCCGCTGTAAAAGTCAATGCCGTACTATTTTACAAATCTGTACACACTTGCGATTGATGGGGTCAAAGGTGATCGGGTGTTGTTTGGTTAAATGTAATCATTCGCAGGAAGCGAGACTGACCGGTGGAAAATCTATGGCCCGAGTGATGACGCATGTATATAAACCACCAAGGATTTAACTTTAGGAATGGAATCTGATCATTTCACAAGATATAACCGCTGAAATAACCTACGTCATGTATGTTGAACATCTTTCGCACCGTACGTAGCCAAACGTGCTAATCGGAGGTGCGGTGTTATAACATGAAGGAAGATGCGACCAAGAAAATAAACGGGCTTTTATATTGTCGATATGATGAAAATAACTACCATAAATTAACAAATATAGACAAGCACCCAGTCATTGCCTTCAAGACATTACAGCTGTGATTTATGGACGAAAGTGACATCACAATGACATCACGACGCACCGGATCACCATGAAAAACAATCAACCACTTCCGAGACTTTGATGTCACGCAGTCGGTGACACAAGAGATTGTATGCATCGTATACCTACAAGATTCACAAGAGGAGATTTCATTTCTGGGGTGCACCTTACTCTAAAAAAAAAGAAACAGCATCCGTCAGTGTGAAGCCCCGTTAAATAATTGAGTCGCTCTCCCTCGCCGCCCTATACGGGCGCTTGTCACCCCCCGTGTGAGCAAAAGATCGCGGGCGGTGGCCAGGCCGGTTACTCCTCTCCCGCCGGAATGTTCTCCTCGATCCTCTTGAGGAACTTGAGGCGGATCTCCGTGCTGCCGTCGCCTTTGAGGGAGTCTTGAACGAACCGCACGTCCACCGCCATCTGCACCTTCAGTCGACACGAGCGGAGCAGGGCGACAGCGATGCAAGCTGCGAGTTGAGCTTCCCATCGACGAGTGCCGTCGCTGTTACGGCAAACGTCGCTTCGACAGCAAGAAAACTCTGGGGACCGATTCGTTTATTGACCCGGGAAAGCTTCATCGAGTCTCAAGGCTCTTTTTCACGAATGTATGTTGAACTTCTCTCGCAGCTACGTCGTCAACCGTGCTGTATGTATAACTTATTTCGTACCGTACGTAGCCAACCATGCTTATCAGAGGTGCGGGGGAAGGACAACAAACTAAACACAAAAAGCAGTTCTAAGGAAGTGAGATTTCAATCTACATTTAAAAGTGCATAGCTCCAGTGGCTTCCTCATATCTGTTGTATACTAACCCTTCTTCCATAATTGAGATTAATAATATTTGATGATTTTTATATATTATCTTTTTACTTGTTTTTTTAATGAGTGAAACACACCAAGCGCAGCAAACTGCAAAACACCAGGTGTTGTTAAGTAATGAACCGGAGGAGGGCTAGGATGGCAGAATTTACAACGTTGCTTCAAGGGAAGATAAGGCCTGATGAACGGGCACATGTCACCCGTGCAGGCGGCAGAGACAGTGGGAGTGTCAGCCAGACATAGTTAAGGCAAAAGCCCAATCATCCTGCATGGTTTTAAAGTAACGTCAAAATTCGAAATTCAACAACAGAGTAGGCTAAATTATCGATCCTCGCGCTCGCTCAAACTGGAGACCAGGCTGCGAGCTACATCAATGAACCATTGCCCATTTGCTAATCCAATACTGAATGTTAATATTACTGAAGTCAAAACGAATTCTATGACCTCAGCACATGGGCAAATAATAGGGCAGTGTCGACTCAAAGGCAATGGAAGAAAACAGAGGCGCCTTTGTCTAAATCACAACCACAGAAAGCCAGGAATCATCACTGATTGTGTGTTCAGGAATTCCGAGCTAGTTAGAACACGTGCACAGGGGGGGAGCTGATGTAAACAACCCTGCGCGTCTGGATGTGAGGGGGCCTTTGACCTGAAAGTAAGAATAACACTCCCAGAGCAGAAGGTTGGATGACCACAGTGAGACGAGAATAAGAGTGGTGTATATCTCTCAAGGAGGCAGACCCAGCTGAACAACAAGGCTGCGGGGTCACCAGAAGTTCGCATTCGCCTAGTTAAGACAAAAAGCTCAATTATTCTGTATTGCTATTAAAGTAACGTTAAAGTCGGAATTTAACAACAGGGTAGGCTAAAGTTATCGATATTCACACCCACTCCAATTAAACCAGGCCACAAGTTACGCCTACTGAACCATCACCATTATTAAGTCAATATGAAATGTTATTTCCATACTTCAATACTTTCTATACAATTCGACCCGAAGCATATGACAATCAGAACCTTCCTAAGTCAAAATTGAATCGCACCCAGACAGGAGCGAATAGTCAATATAAGGTTGAAGAGGGAAGGAAATCAAGAGCACGGCGAACTGCAAACGTAAGCAAAAAGCCGGGAACAACACCAGCCCAGCAACAGCGAGTGGGGCTTCGACAGGCCATAAAGTAGAATAATAACTCCCGGGGTCAGGGGACACAAGAAGAAGCAGGCAGACAAAAACCAGAACTGACTCCAAGGTTCAACCGCCCTCACCTACTCAGGGGTGACGGAAATTAATGAGGCCTTGAATTAACGGCAGGCAACAACAACGGCGAGCAGAGATAGGGTGGGGCAAAGACTGCGGGCTATGGAATGCAACTTCGTGTCAGTAAAGCCCTGACAAACAAGTTAAGTTAAAGACATCACAATACATAATATCGCACATAACATCAATGTTAACGCTATTCACCGTAAACTATATTCCGCTTATATAACCATCCAGGCACCAAGGAATACGAATTCCTAGGATCAAGAAACTTACCCCTTAACCTAAGATATCGGAAATAAATTAATAGTAATAAGTATATGCATGAAAAGACAAAAGTAAACTTATGGAAAAGCCAGGATAACGGGATGAATCACCACCAGGTCGAATATAAATACATAATAAAAAAAAAAACAATGTTAAACCCAGGGTCGGAGAGAAAGGGAGATCCCGGCCGTCTTTGTATCCCCGCAGCGCGGGATAGGAGTGTGTGTACGCTCGGGGAAACACCTACACTTGGGTCGGGAACCACGATGGGAAACGACAGACCTTAGGTTACATACAGAATCATAACTGTGAAATAGTAAGGGACAAATGTTAACTTAAAACTTTTAACCATTTCTTTGTGCGCCGGGTCGGAGAGAGTGTTGCCCCTCCCCCCAGGTTGTGCAACACGAACAAAGACGCCTATGAGACGATTTGTAACGTCTGTGTTTTGGGTTCATGAAGAAGGCCAGACAAGAGATAAATTGCACCCAGACAGAGAGACGACTTCGAGACAATTTGTAACATCTGGTTGTTTGCTCGTGGGTTTTATGGAGGGAGTTGACAACGGAATATACCGTCAGTGATGCACACAAGGACATACGGACACACACATGGACACACCTGCCTACGGACAGATCCTGACACAGCAAAAATCGGAAGCCCCGCCTTGTGGGCGGGATCCAGGGGGATTTTTCAGCATAAAGGAACGGATCCTGAACATTGGAAACCAGTGCGACGGGAGGGTCCACTCAGAAGCTCGACCGGGAGGGTCGACTCAGGAACGAGTGCGACCAGCGGGTTCACTCAGGAGCGCGACCGGGAGAGTCGGCTCAGGAGGAGTGCGACCAGTGGGTCCACTCAGGAGCGCGACCAGCGGGTCCACTCAGGAGTGCGACCAGAGAGTCGACTCAGGAGCGAGGGCGACCAGCGGGCCGACCCAGGAGCGAGCTCGACCGGGAGGGTCGACTCAGGAGCGAGCTGCGACCAGCGGGTCGGCTCGACTCATCTTCAGCTCGTCAATCTCTGCTGCCGCCGGAGATCTCCGCTGCCGCCGGTGGTGAGCGTCGCGACTTGGCGACGATCCAGCGCTGCACGCTACGAGCGAGTTGTGGGCGCCACCTACCGACCGGGTTCCGAACTGCGACAGCGTATCAACAGCCATCCGAGCCAATTCACCACGGTGACAGGGGAGCGCCTGATACGTATGACGCGCACCGCCCCCTCACCACACGACCACCAGGCGTCTGTTTGACATAAAGAATCGACTCCGAACACTGACTATTCAAGACAACTCTTACCACTCAAACACACTCGAACCCATAAGTCATCCGTGGCTGGGAAGGCATCACAACGAGACCGAGTGGTGGCCATCCGTCGTTTATAAGAGTATTCTTAATTTTTATCTTTAATATTTAGTGGGCTGTACTCTTAATCGCATAAATTCCCAACAGATCCATCAATACGAACTGATTCTTGGCACCTCCTTCCGCCGAGCCACGCTCACGTGGGGAGTGGTGGCCCACCGGATCCTTATCAGGTGATCTGGTCCCCAATTAGTAAACTTGGTATAAGATAACGATCTTCGGAAAAGGAGCACCGTCGCAGGCCCTTACTCCGAGCCGTTCTGAGATAACCTGCCGATGTATCTGTTGAGATTGGTGCCTTTAAGAATAATAACTGTTTTTGATTGTGTTTTTTTTTATCGCCGTATAATCTTTCAAGTATCTTTCAGTCATAATCGCCGCACGTACTCGCATCCTCTACAGAATATTCAACTGTCCCGTGACCCAAGGTGTTAACAACGTGATAAGGGTTGCGTATGATCAATAAGGAGTGCGGTACTGCGTGAACAATATTGAGTATAATCATTCATTAACGTTAAGGTTTTCTTAGCATAGTATTTGCATGTTTTAACGACTCTCTCTCTCACTAACAACCATCGCGTTATGCGGGATCCATGTGCAGTTGTCAAAGTGAAATCAGACAATCGTTGATGATACTGTATTGATGCCGTATTGACGTTCCGGGATTGAGAGTTCAGCATACTATATCATAGTTAAGGTTGAATTAGTAATAAATTGATCAATACAGAAGTGGTTGTGTGATTCTTTCCTGAAATCTATGCATAAGATCTGCTTCTGCGTTGAGATTTGAACTTGGTGACCTTAATAAACACACTAATACATACTCAGTAAATGTTAAAGCGATAACGGGGTGAACCGGGGTCTGGTTATCATAACGACTTGCGTTATCATAATTACACCCACTCGCATAATTAATACGATTACCTCTCGAATTGGCATAATTAAAATGTGCGTAATTACATAAATTAACATATTTCCGGATAATTACACATTTGGCCAAATTTCATTTAATTATTATTATTTCCACTGAATATCCATAACCCACATATACAACATAATAATTTCACCCACGCACGCATACAACATAACAAATTTTCATACCCAACATATACAACATAATGGGGGCTCGTCCGGGATCTCTCGCAGACAGTTATGCATGAATTCAGGAACGAATCACTGATGTGTTAATCAAAGTGTTGTGAACTAACGTTGCCTTGTGATTGTAAACGGGGGTATACAAACAAAACGCGCTCTGAAGGGAAATACCAGAGTAGCAGAGTATAACAAAGACAGCTGGGCTGAGATTATTTGCTCGAGTTGAACTGACGCATCCTGTGATACAATTGTTTATATGTGCTCTGAAAGGGAATTCTAGAGTAACTCACGACGCACATGAGATGTTAGAATTAAGATACACTCTTAAGTCTATTAACCACACTACATAATAGAGATGGCACAGGATCCACAACATTCTGAGTTTGACACACCAACGCATAACACTGATACAGAGTGGACCTCTGAGGAGGAGATGGAATCTATGGAAAAACAATATCGGGAATTTGTGTTAAAACGTACTGGACGGACTGCTAGCCAGCAGACGGAGCAGAGAGATATATGGGAGGGGAGCCATACAGAAGATGTTAAGGCCCATAGAAGGAAACTACTTAAGGACGTGATGAAATGTGGCAAAGCCAAACGTGACGTAAAAATTGCAGAAA